TATAAATGTAAAATGAACTATTTTAAAAAATCCATTGATATCATAACTATAAATAAAAAAATACTCTACTTATTTATTTTNACTTGTTTTTCTGTAATATTTATTTAAATATAAAGGCACACTAATCGGGACAGGCACACTAATAGGGACAGTTACCCTACTTGCTGGGAAAGAAACAATTTTTCTTCTTACAAAGAGAGAGACGTTTTTGTTTTTTCTAGACGGTATGTCGCGCTATTCAAAGGACACGGGGTGGGAGACGAGCGAGTCTCTTCCCGGTGGTGCTTCTCGCTTGTGCTCAGTTCGCTCGCGACGTCAGTGCCGGTTAGATCGCGCGACGTTGTTTCTGGCGCGTTTGTCCGCGTGTCGAGGAGAAAACTTTTGCATGTGCGTATGTGCGAAACCGAAACCGTGCGCGAACCGCTCTTCTCGCGGTGCTTTTTTTTTTTTTTACCAGAACAAAAATATTAGTGCGCGAGATTCCCTACCCTGTCTCACCTGTCGTCGGGAGAGCAACAAGTGAAAGGCGTCGTCGCCACGCGGAAGATTCGTGCCGATTCGAAACTTTATTTACTGTGCGCGCACGAGAAAAACAGGAATACGAAACCGTGATTTCGGAACGCGATCACGTGATACGAATTCGCTATCGTGAGTTCGGAGCGGTTACGCGGCCGGCGCGCGAAGAATTTTTTATTCGTCGTCGTTTCGAGATTGTTTGCGAAGTTTTTTTTCGCGACAATTTGTGTTTCGCACGTAAAACCAAAGACATTCGAGCCAGCAACGGTTGAAATTGCGAAATGAAACAGCTCGTTGCCGAGTTGACGAGTGAACGATCGAATTGAGAAAATCCGTGACGGAGGAAACGAAAAGTCGTTAAAAAGTCGCTCGAAATTCTCGACTAGCAAAAAAAAAAAACGGTGCGGCGGCGATCGCGTGTATCAAAAACACAAGTGACTTTCAGTCGATTATGTCAAAAGACGCGATCCGATGAGACGCGACGCGAGCCGGGACGACAACAAACGCGCGCTCGAATCGCGAATTTATTCTCTTTTGTCGTTAACGAGCTACGAACTATGTGAACGCCTTTGTCAATGGTCGCTTTTGTTCGATCATATCAAGAGATTCTCGCGGACCATGACCGTTGCCATGAAGAGGAAGAAGTTCGGACGAGGCGACATAACGTTACGATGTGTTTTCGTTATCGGCTTTTTCCTGATCCTGTGCACTCCGAGTGTCGTTCAAGCCCGCGGATTTCGACGTGGTGAGTACTTGCTTGTTTTCTACTTTCAATGTGATAATACCTGAGAGAAACAGACGAGAGACTGTTAGAAGATATTTTTTGTCTGCACGATAACGCAGTTAATGATAGAACGACATTATGGTCGTATCTTCTTCACATTTTTCTCAAATGTGTTTATTTATTTCTGAAAGTCTGTGACGTGAATTGTACGCGCGATTAGTGGCACATTTGCCGATAAAAGTAATTTAAGAACACGGGTAATTCTCCGGTAAGAAGAATGTCTCTATCCTCGTCATACAAAAAAAAAAAAAAAATGACCGATCATAAAATTTAACGAGTTTACGATCGGTTCTTTGTTTCAACAGTCGCAGCAAGAGATTGCTTCTGTATTTCTTTCTCTTTTGTTTTTCGTTACTCTAACGTCAGTTCTTTTTGTTTTGTTTACTTTTCTGCGCGGTCGATAATTCACAGTTTTATCTAGAAAAAAGCCTATCTGCTACTTTCCGCGTTAATTGCGAACCGAAATATATAACGACTATGATGATATTGCTCGGTGGATGATTTTGTTAACAATTTATTCCGAATATTTTTAAATCACAAATTTAAATGCATCGTCTTTTTGTGTGTTTGTCTCAGGTTTTTGTTTTATTAATGCAGATTGCGGTATCTATCGTTGTGTGACGCGATTATCGACATCACGATCATGCGCGCGGATTTACATAAAACATCGTATATAGATCGTTTATCTGTAACGCGCTTGACATTATGCTAATCAAGAGGCACGGTAGTGCCTCGTGCCAAGTTCACGCGCTCCCGTCCCTCTATTACGCAAAATTCATGCGTTTGAAAAGAAGGGAGGTTTTATTAAGCTATATTTCAGCTACGACTGAACAGATCAACTTTTTTTTAGTCTTAATTAACTCAGAACAAAAATTAAAGAGAACAAATATATTCTTGCCTTTTTTCTATGTGTCTTTTGATCGAAGATATTTGAAAATAAAGTTATGATAGAAATTTAAGTTTTAAGAAACGTGGTCGTCGTTAGACCAAAAAATGTGTGCAATTTTGTATTTCTGCTAACAGATGGCATAAAATGTATAAATATATAAATTTACAAATATACATGTAACAAATATACATATACATGTAATATATATATATATATATATGTATACAGAGAATAGATAATTTGTAACTTTTTGTGAAATTGATTAAGACTAAAGCCAGCGAGACATAGTATTTGGGCGCGTGTACTTTTTCAATAAATAAAGCATTTTCAAATGCATCGTGATTGAAAGTTGGTTACAAAAAACGCGTATTTATAAATATTGAGATTTTCAAAAATTGTGAAACGTCGCACAACATTCGACTCTTTCGGTCCCAATCACAAAAATAGTCACTCGAATCCTCGCAATTTCTAAACAAACAATAAAAAAACCTAAAGATTAAGATATAAGTTGTTTTTAAAGATGAGATTTAAGTTAAGATACAAGTTGTTTTATTATTACACTAAACGCGGGGATATATTACATGTTGAATATTTTATGATAATGCATATAGCTCCCAGCTGAGAGAGAGAGAGAGAGAAATATATTAATATCTCACAAAATATCTTGTAAGCCCTTCTCTATTTGAGGCGGAAGTTGATTACTGATACCGCATTTAAAGTTTTGCATCGTATGCAGTATCGAAACTGCTCACGACACTCGAACGACACCCACGCCATGTTAGACTACTTTATAGTCTCCGACAATATTTTCCCGAGATTAAATCTCACACACGCGGTGCATCTCTCAGTTTCTCTCTTTCTCGCTCGCGATCTAAATCCCGGTTGGTTTCCGGCGCAATTCGAAGCGAAAGCAACGACGACGCGACGGTGCGTGTGGTCTTTTAAAATATATTGTTGAAAATTCCGACGGGATCCAATGCGCGGCGATCTCGTAAAACGCGTGTCTGCTCCGAGTAGTATTAAGTGTCAGGACATTCCGCAGCTTTCTTCCTCCGGGAAGAGAAAGAGTAAGACAGAGAGAGTATAAGTGTGTGTGTCTTTGCTTTATATTTAGCGACGACCGCATCGAATCCGTCGCACGCCGCGAAGCGAGTGTGTAAACGCACCCTTTTACTCCAGGACGATCAAAGGCGTTCTCCCGAGAATATCGATCCCCTTTCACACACGTCGGGACGATTATCGCGCGCGTTCGAACCGGGAGCCGCAGAAACGGGAGAAAGTTTTTAGCGAGAGAAATTGCCAACAAAATAAAGCACGCGCGATATTCTCAATGAACTTTAATTTATAGTTTGTACTTTTTTTTGCCGAAACGCAATCTCTAAAGAGAGATCACGTTAAACTTTCGCATGTTAAACTTCTGACGTATGTTTTTGTTTCTCTCTTTCTTTCTCTCTCTCTCTCTCTCTTCCTCCCCCTTTCAAGCTAAATAACTGGACCAAAATTCCACGTGCTGAGAGCGGTTTATGTTCACGTTTTCTTCTGCTTTGCCGCGAGCGTCCTCCGAGATTCCTCCGACGCGTCAATGTATCACGTCGGTTTAGATTGTTGTGTTTCGATGACGTTCTCGCGTAGCATACCGACTGACCAAAGTGACTCATTTACGAGATAATTAACAGTCGGTTAACGACCACGCTTCAGCCATCGAGTGTTGTAATTAACTTCAGCGAAATACTTTCGTCTTTAGTGTCGTTGTTGTTTACGCTCTCACTTTCTCGTTCCTTTTCTCTTTTGTTCTCTTCTCTTCTGTTAATTTTAAACGTTTTAGGAATTTTCTTTTCTCTCGAAAGACAGAAGAGACCGCACGTTAAGAGAAGCACGTTTTTACAATGATTTTTCGTCGACGTCGTTAAATAAAAACGACGCGCGATAATTAACGTTCGGCCGTGTCGGCTGGTTCGATCGACCGATCGATCGATCGATTGATTGCTCACGTAAATCGAATGAACACGAGCCGTCACTGATCGGATCTTCGAGATATCGAGATCGAACGGTCGCACCGGCTTGTTCGCTTGCGTGTACCGCTTCCTGTTTCTGCAATACGGTCGATCGGTTCGCTCGCTCGCTCGCTCGCTCGCCCGCCGATCTAAGCGGCAAAAGCGAAATTCCATGCCAGGAATATTGCGAAATGTAATCCTCTGTCCTGCCACGCAACTGTAATACATTCTAAACATACGTGTAACGCGCAGTATTTGTTTTCTTTTTACCTAGCGTTTCGCTTTCCGCTTGTACTTAGTCAGTCGAATGTCATTTTTATCGCTAAAGCTAAATGCTCACTATATCATGCGTTTCCTCATGGTTCTCATTTCCTGTTTCTGCGATTCAATCGGTGAGTAGGTATCTAATGATTAAACCACCTTAAGCGATACGTTGCACACGCAATTCTTGCGAAATACATTGCCATATTGTACGCACAACGACTCCGTTTGCGTGTCTGGCTCAGTTTTAGAATTTTATAACGTTATTTTGTTGGTTTAAAAAAATATATTTTGTGCTCTAGACTCTTACATTTTTTTAGTTTCTTAATTTGGAAAAATAAAAAAATAAAAAATATCACATCCGATAAATTTCTTGCTTTATAAGATATAATAATATCAAAAAACAGTACATTGTTAATGTACTGTTAATTAAAAATAGTACATTGTTTTTTCTTCCTCTTTTTTTTCTGAATGCTATAATATATCTTTAACACAATCCTGATAAAAGGGAAGCGTGTGTTTGATTCAATATTTGGCGCCGCCGAATATTGATGCGATTCAGATACGCGAGATAATGTAATTGCCTCTCGCTGCGATTTTCTTCACGAGATTCTCTCAGGCCACGCGAGACGATAATGAAGCGACTGGCTGAATCCAATGAAGATAAAGGGATAAAGACGCTCCTCGTTGCGATATATCCCGAGTTGTCGAGGCGTGGAAGACGGTATCCCCCGGACTCTGTATCTAAACGGCGAAGAAGATTCGCCCGAGGAGGGATCATTAATTTAATTAGTTTCGGGGAAAGGGCGGGTTTAATCGTTCGGTCCGATGGATCGACGTGAATGCTCGTTGTTCGCGAGACTCGGAACAAGCGATCGTTTAAGAAGCTGAACTCCGCTCGAGCTTCGATCGGCGGTTATCTTTAAGAGCGTTTAACGGCGAAGTTTAAAGGAAAACCGATCGCGCGCGCAACGAGAATTTTGTCTCGATATGCTGTGCAATCAGCTCAGCTTTTTATAGTACAGACAGTAATCTTTGCGTCTCTTACACATAAATCTGTATAAAATTTAGTTTAATCTGCTAAATTCTCTTTTATATTAATTAAAATATTTTTCATGTTTCAAGCAAAATTTTTAAAAAATAGATATGTATGACTTATATTTTTTCTCCTATTTTTAAAATAAGTCAATAAAACTACCAAAGTTCTTAGTACTGTGAGTTCTTCGACCACATTTTTAAAATAACACGTCTTTTGTTTTTCGCTATCATATACTTGCAATTAGTTAGTATCGTTCTCGAAAATTGGCTGTAACAACGAACGTCAATCACTTTGACGCGTTAAAACACATCGCGGTGGTAACAGCATGAACAATCCGCGTTTGACGTTACACGTGAAACACCTGGCAAAACCGACAACGCGCGCGATGCTCGCGATGCGTCTAAAATCTACCGCGCGCCGCTCTCAAAATAATTTCATTCTTGTTTCGCGCGGGCTTCTCATTTTGTTTCTGTTTAAGTGCCAGATCGTCCGAGGCATGCAAAGTAGCGCTGTCGACGTGTTCGGATTACCGAGGGGTTCTGCGGGACCACGTGGGCGCATGTTCTTGAGAAAATGCGAGATCCGACCGTAACAAGGGCGATCTCTTTAAACCGCGCGCCGTGACTTTCGCGACTATTAAGATTCGTATCTGGTAAATTCTCAGTCCACGTTTTCGTCACAAAAAGACTTTTACGCTCAGAAAAATTTTACACCGCAATTTTACCCGCTTTGTAATCAATGTCTGAATAGAATAAAAATATACTGTCTTTTTTCGTAT